AGCGGTGAAGTAAAGAAGTACAAATTAGTAGTTGATAGAGGGTCACCAGGATGGGGAGCATAGCATAGGGAATGCAGTCAGCAGTAAGGTAATGGCTATGTGTAGAGCCAGAGGGAAGATAGAGCCATCAGGGAGATCATTTCATAAACTATATAAATGTCTAACCAATGTACTGTATACTTGAAACTAATAAAAAGAATTGCAGTGTTAATTCAAAGAAAAAAACCATCATCAATTTATAGAGCAAAAAGAATGCAATTACTTTGCTAAGACCTATAAATGGAATTCCCAAAGCAATCCCTTGCATCTATTAAAATCCTGATTATAAAATCATATAACAAAGATTCTAGCAAATTCAAAGCAGTATAAAGACCATTTAAGAAAAGGAATATTTAAATCTCTTCTTCTCATAACCCCACTAATTTAACTGTTAATATTTCGATGTCTTTCCTTCCAGTCTTAAATACAAATTTGGATCATCCTTACTACTTAAACAGTAAAGCATGAACAATTTTTCATGTTACTAAAAATTATTTGAAAGTATGATCTTAATGACTATAATATTCCATTTTATGAATAAAAGTCCTTGTATCATTAATTCTAGGTGTCTACATGCGACAGAAATGTAGGAAATACTCAAAATTTGAAAAAGTTTTCTGGTAAAGGAAAATCTATCACTTTTTTTTTGCTTTTGAGCAGACTTGGATGGGATTTATTTTTTATGGGAAATGTATGTAATACCAGTAAACATTTAACTGGCTGACATATTTCAAAATATCTTCCCAGACAAGTAAAACTTAATGGGACTTGGAAACACCATGATTTTAAAAGCGCAAGACTAGCTTTTTAAACACAAAAATCCAAAAGTAGTTAACTTTCAGTAGGAAAGAACTGTAAATATTTAAGGAGGCAAAACAGTTCTCATTACTCCAAGTCATAACATCCCACTTAACACTGAGGATTCATAATTGTGAAGCATACTTTTTTCACTGAATACTGGCTTAGAACAAGGTGTAATTGAACCACAGAAGTGAAACACACATGTTCAGAATACCAAATAATCTGTAAGAAAAGCAGGTTACTTTAAAGCAAGGGACAGTCTTTGTCCTTTAACCGTTGGCCACTCCTTTTTGGCCAATTTTGATATCCAGATGCAGCAGGCCACAATTTTTCAGTGTCTGAGTGACGTGTCCTTCCTGAAAGTGGCCATTATCTGTGTACACTGGATAGAAATGTAAATAACCAAAAGCCAAATTGGCAGGGCACAAATTTGCCATGAGGTTTATCATCAACCCAAATGCATTACTTTCAACCTCCTTCTCC